GTTTACAGTGGAACGACCAAGGAAACATATGTCTGAAACATATATATTATTTTCTGAGCAAAAATGTTCAAGTTCGCGCCCAAAAAGCGATCCTAGATTTGCATTAAAATCACCTAGAATAATAGCATTCGTAGCGTTGCAATCTTGAACAATACAATAAATTTTAGCCAAATAGCTAAGAAAATCATCAAAATTATCATCTGAACAAGTGGGCAAATATGCACACAGTATGAGTATATGATTATGTTCAGTACACAGTTCCACGCCAATAAGTCTGTTATCATTTAAATATCGTATTTTAATTTTATTGCCAAGAGATTTGCGCCACAAGATGGCAACACTTCCGTACGGTCGTCCCACGCGGATTCCAGTCTCTTCATTCATTGCCGAAACTCCACATGCATTAAAGCCATTATGTATACAACCTAGAAGTGTTAATTCAGAGTTACTAAGCCAGTGGTCTTGGATTAACACTATGTCACGAGAGTCACAGAGAGCGTGAATATCGTTAATAGAGGATTTTGCTCCACGACAGTTGAATGAAACTATTCGTACAGACATTGTTATTAGTAATACTTGCGAATAAGAATTCCAGTTGGCCAGTTGGTTTGAGATTTGCTATATTCTATACGGCATACGACTACTCATAAACGGAGATATGTGACGTCATGGAAGCACTTCGTCGCGAGAGGGCGCGACTTATATGAAACGTCTATTGCTAACTTTTCAGAAAGAAGAACATGACGCCAATGCGTCTGCAAAGTTATTGGGTAAGATACCTGGCATGAAAGGAACAATCAAAGCGTAAGTAAGACCAGCACCATCAGGGCTGATGTTTTCATGTATACCGACCTTGGTCATGTGACCAATTGTTCTGGCCTTGCGTCTATTCCTGTAACTATAGCTGAGTGTTATCGCTATAGTAACTGTACACCACTTGTAAGCCGCCATTTTATTAGACATATCACTGTACATATATTTTTACTTGAACTAAATGTTGTTTGTCAGTTTTTAAATATTCTTATAAGAAAAAAACAATAAAAACGTTTCAGGGATGGAAACCTTAGCGATATAACCAAAGCAGGAAGTATGCACAAGTTTTTAGTTCAGCTCCACGCCACTCATGGTCACGTGGCAACGTTCTGGTTCGGGAAGACACATTGTGTAAGCATCGCATCACCGGAAGCGTGGAAAGACACAGTTAAACTGTTTGACAGGCCAGGTAGATTGTTATCATAATAATTTTGTATATATAAAATTCATAACGTTTTTTTTTCTGTGTGGTGGATAGTATGGGTAAACAGCCTGGAAAAGCCTGACATGTAGGGGTGTGTGGCACCCTCACCGGCCGAACGACATCAGACCCTACATGTTGGTTTTTGAACACCGTTGAGGGCGCAACTCATGCGAGCTTGTCAGCCTAACATGGGACATGCGTCTCCATAATTGTATGTCGATGGCAGGAGGGGAGGGTAGTTGATTTGCGACCAGATAACATTTGACAGTAAACTTAACACTATTCGCACGCTTTGAAATAGATGAATGGACGCACGTGCATTAAAGTTTTTCATTATTCTATTGAACGAATACCTTTCATTTTGTTAAATAATTTTGACTCAGACTAATTTGGAGGTGTTGATGACCCATGCCACAAGAACAACGCTGAAATATAATAACAATAATATTATTTCGTAATAATTACTTCATGTGACATTGATAACGAAAGAATATACACTGAAACAATTCACCTCATTCGTACCGTTACAGTCGGATTTTTCGAGTTCGTCAAACCTCTTTTTGGTGAGAATAGCATCCAGTTTGCAAATGGAAATTATGGGAAACAGCGACGTAAACTTCACGATGCTTCATTTACACATCAGGCTGTGAAAAGCTACTATCCAGTTTTCCAAGAGGTGAGGCGTGCATGATTTTGGTATCAGAGTTGACTGAAACAGATCGTAATCTGCGAAACCATTTAGCTATGCATATTCAACTAATTAAGATAAAGGCACATTTGTCAGAACTGCGCATGTGCGAATCATTACTGTTCCATCGTGTCTCTATCTATACACTGGTTGGTTTCACATACAACGCGCTCAGGGACACTACTCGGGTTATGAAAACACAATTGAACTATAATCAAGTTCTATGCGCGGCTGTAAAAGAAGTGTATACGTAGATCGTAGAGTGGAGGGCTAAACAACTAAGACACAAAGTTACAATAGAAATTAGCGTGTGTAATGTTACCATGTTCCTTTGCATAATTAAAATACTAGTGGTCAATAGTAGTTAATAGTGGTCAAACAGCAGATTACCCCTGTAATAAAGTGAACACATTCATATAGCTCAAATACGACTGATTTTTGCATCTGTTCCAGACTTTATACAATATATTTCCCTTTGGGTACCAAAGTCAACTTTTGTCACCATTCACAAAATAGTTCTATACACTGCATGTGCATATTAATTAGGTAATTTGCATATTATTAATCCTTTGAGCACCAAGGTAAACTTTTGTCACCATTCACAAAATAGTTCTATATACTGTCTGTGCATATTAATTAGGTAATTTGCATATCATTAACCATTTGAGCACCAAAGTCAACTTTTGTCACCATTCACAAAACAGTTTTATACACTGTATGTGCATATTAATTAGATAATTTGGATATTAACCCTTTGAGCACCACCAAGGTAAACTTTTGTCACCATTCACAAAATAGTTCTATACACTGCATGTGCATATTAATTAGGTAATTTGCATATTATTAATCCTTTGAGCACCAAAGTCAACTTTTGTCACCATCACAAAATAGTTCTATACACTGCATGTGCATATTAATTAGGTAATTTGCATATTATTAATCCTTTGAGCACCAAGGTAAACTTTTGTCACCATTCACAAAATAGTTCTATATACTGTCTGTGCATATTAATTAGGTAATTTGCATATCATTAACCATTTGAGCACCAAAGTCAACTTTTGTCACCATTCACAAAACAGTTCTATACACTGTATGTGCATATTAATTATGTAATTTGGATATTATTAACCCTTTGAGCACCAAGGTAAACTTTTTTCACCATTCACAAAATAGTTCTATATACTGTCTGTGCATATTAATTAGGTAATTTGCATATTATTAACCATTTGAGCACCAAAGTCAACTTTTGTCACCATTCACAAAACAGTTCTATACACTGTATGTGCATATTAATTAGGTAATTTGCATATCATTAACCATTTGAGCACCAAAGTCAACTTTTGTCACCATTCACAAAACAGTTCTATACACTGTATGTGCATATTAATTAGGTAATTTGGATATTATTAACCCTTTGAGCACCAAGGTAAACTTTTGTCACCATTCACAAAATAGTTCTATATACCGTATGTGCTTATTAATTAGGTAATTTGCATATTATTAACCCTTTGGGTACGAAAGTCAACTTTTTCCACCTTTCACAAAATAAAACCCGATTTTTTTTTTCTTTTTCAAAACTGTTATAACCAATTTGGTCAAAAATTATTTAAAAAAAATACAGAAAAATAGATAACTAAATGTTGACAAGAAAAAAAACATGGCGCTCAAAAGGTTAAAACAAACTGTCTGTTTATAATAAATATGAAATGTAACTCATGTATTCACAGAAAACTGAAATTTTTATTAGAAAGATAATGGCACTGCCTCCTGAAGAACACATCCCATTGTCGGAATATGTCTCTGTATTCGTGATGAAATCATTAATGTCGGCATTATTTGGGCAGAATGTAGAAAATGACGAACAGACTGTAACTATGTTACGCCATTACGAAACCGTGAGTACTTCAGTACAACAACATCCGCGACGTCTGTGTATAAATAATTTATTGTGTCTCTTTTAAACAGATTACGATCTTCGGATGAACTATCGTTTTGCAAAGTAGGGCTTGTATAACTTCATTAATATGTTTTCACGCCACCATCCACAGTGGCGGCGGCACGGGGGGGGTGCAGTCGTCCTCTCGAAACAAATGTTGGGGCGTCGTCGTCCCTTCAAAATCAAGCTGTCAGTTAAATTTGACCCCCAAAATGCAGGGAATAGCGTTTCAGAGGGTCTATATTTCACCAAGGTTGTTGAGCAGATCTCGCCCCCCCCATGAAAAATTTCGTGGCGCCGCCTCAGGTTCATTTTAAATATACTCCTGCAAATATGGCTGTATTTGTTACAGCAATCATCTTTCGTTAATATTATAATGTCCTGCACATGCATACTTTAAATATTCATAAGATGAGTTATCCTTCTAGGTAATGCTAGTACTGAACAAGAAGATGTCAGCAAATACTGAAAAGAAAAACACATTTCATATAGGTATGTTGTTTAAAATTGCATAATTAAAAACGAACAAAAAAAATCATGTTAAAGCGACAGTTTCGAAACTCATATAGTATGATATCCCCTGCTAATTGCAAACATCGCACTACGGACGTTTTGACACTGTTTTCATGCCGAGACATCTTTATGAGAATCTGACCCACACTCAAATGCGTCTTTTTTAACGTTCGTCAATGTCATATCTGCTATTGTCACAGCGTTAAATGCATGGCATGAGTTCATTAGGAAGATTATCCTAAAACGACGCAACGAACCATCGGATGAAATGAGAGAACGTTTTTAGACGAATTAATGGATAATGCCGAAGATGATAATACACTGGTGTGTGATATTATTACTTATGTGGTGGCCGCCTACCATACATCTACATTCAGTGAGTATGACATTTCTGTTGACCTCGGTAAAAAAAAAAATTAAATGAACTGTTCAATAGTATTATGAATTACACTCAAAATAATATTTGGGTTACAGTGTTGGTCTGGTCTTTATATCACGTGGCATCCCGGTCTGACGTACAGGAGAAGATATACAATGAAGTTACCAATGTTCTCGGAAGTAAATCAAACGTTGAACCTGACAACTATTCACAGCTACAGTAAGTACAACGTGTTTACCAAGCATCCCAAGTGCATACGTGTTTCAGGGTGAGATGAACATTTTAGGGATTTTTTTTTAATTTAAAACTCTCCATTGTCGTTGAAACACACTCGAAAAAGTATCGAAAATAGTTTGTTTATTTTTAGGACTTCATTTACATAGCTGCATGTAATTTACATGGTTAATAAGGGCTGCAATCAAGTATAAGTATATTTGATAAGTATCTCCACACAGTCTACCATACGTTTGGGCTGTACATTGAATAAATGAATAAAATGCGTGTGAGGACCATTCGAAAAAAGACAATTCAATTTGAATTTGTTCGATTGTTTTGTCCTGTCTTTTTTATATTTTAAACAGAACAATAGTTATGAACATGACACATACATAAAAGTATAATTTATACAAAACATCGAAATACACAATTTGAATTGACGATAACCACCAATTCTATTTCCAATCCCATCCTTAATCTTCGTCAAATAATGTTACTCAAGTTAGCACGCATCGAATACAAATGGTTTTTTAACAAATGTACTGTTTTTAGGCGAAAATCTGCTTATTTTAGAAATCTCAAATATATATATATAACGCGTCATGTCTTAAAAATGTAATATGGACGAGGACATAATAATGTTGTTTGGTGCTGTATATTGATTGAATACATTGTTCTTGCAGCACACACTGGGTATTCGTTCGATGAAACAATGACATTATCGAATACGCATGCGCACTGGCTGCAATCACACTGGTTGGTTTACAATAACAATCACTGCACCTGCGTATTTAGTGTTTTGGGTTTTTTATCTAACAAATACTGTTGTGTGTCCTACAGACGCAATATTGTTAATTAATGATGAACTATAGTCTTATTTGGTCTACATTATCAAGTATCGAAATAAAAAATATATTTTTTATCCTTATTATAGTATATATGCGTTTAGTTCGTACGCCCAATTTCTTCTGCCTCACAACATGAATTAAACCTAAATTACAACCCACTACCACTGCATCATTATTCATCTCACGAGTAACACTCACAGTTGATGTTCATTCTAAAATATTTATTTTTTGTCCATGTTTAAAAATACGTTTTCTTGCTATATTGACAACACCGTACTATGTTATCACACATTCCGTGTATAAATGAAATTAATATGGACAAAATGAAAAAAAAAATAATGAAAAAATGAAGTGTTTCTTAAGAAAACTTTTTTATTATGATTAAAACAATTTTATTTTGTCATTTGGAGCACGATGTGGTGACATGTGTATCAAAGAAATGTACGATTCTCGGTCATATCCATTGATTTTCCTCTACTGGCAATGCACTTCCTATACGAGGATTTTGATTATGGTAAATTAGTTATTGCTTTTTTAAATAATTTAAAAACATAATTTACTGTATTGTGTATTTGTTATTAGGTACACGATGCAAGTTTTAATGGAATCGCTACGATGGTCTACACTTGGACCGTTTGCTGCAAGAGTGAATACGGAAGCGAATACAACAGTGCAAGGATACACGATTCCGAAAAACGTGAGATGATTTATATCGTAAAAATGTTTGTCGAATAATCATAATATTTTCATCTTGCAATTAACGGAAATTCACGTAACACCGAGCTTTTCAACATTCTTGAAGACAATTATGTATTTCCACATCGACGAACACTAATTGGAAACACTAAACCTCCGGAAATATATTGTACCTATTACTGTACCCAGCAGTACAAGTCTGTACTTTCACATCGACACATACAGGACACACTGAACCAGCTGGGGGTTTGACGTGGCTACTCGCAGTTCAACTTTTCAACGCATTAGATTCTACCTTAACATTATCGGCTGGTGACATTCACTGGACGATATTTTATACTGCTCTTTTTGAAACAGTGAGTGTGCATGGTGGTGGCACAGTGGCGGATCCAGAGGGGGCAGGGGGGCCATGCCCCCCCCAACGCATGACGATTCGTATCATCTGGATTACGCATAGCTTCTCTGCGATTTACGCTCCGTATATCTTAAGCGTAGCTTGGACCCCCCCCCCCCCCAATACATTTTGCTGGATCCGCCACTGTCCCAGGGGGCAGTGCATCTTCTTTGTCTTAGGCCAATATTTTGAATTCTCTGATTCATGCTGTATGTTATGTGTGTTCGTTTGCCTGTGATTTATTCCAATAGTTTACTGTTGCCATTTATGTTTTACTACAGACTCCAATCGTCCAGGCATTGGGTGTAGTTCACATGGATGAGAAAATATGGCCTGAACCAGATAGGTAAAATTACATTATCATTTTTGTCGAATAGACTTTGTCTATTAAACATTTCAAAGGGGAGATGATAGAAACATTGTGAACATTGTTATTTTTGTCTTTCACTTGGTTTTACTTAGATTTTGTAGGATGATACATTTGCAGACTTTCATATTTAAGTGCATTTGTTTATATTTAAAACAAATATGTCTGTAATTGACGAATATTAACAATACGTGGTTATTAAACAACGGAACTAGATGTTGTAACATTTCACAATGCCATTTGTGATATATACATTTATATAACACAATATGTAAATCTTGGTTACTAAATATGTAACGGTATACGTTATAAATTTTATAATGTCACAATTACACGAGATATTTATTGTATTTTCAATTCGCAGGTTCGATCCGGATCGATTTTCCCCGACTGAAATAAAAAAGCGTCATGGAATGTCTTTTCAGCCTTTGGGGTTTGCTGGCCAGCGGATCTGTCCTGGCCACCGTTTTGCGTACGCGGAGGGCGTGGTTTTCCTGGCTTCCATTTGTAGGCGGTTGAGGTTCCAGATCGTCGAAGGCCAAAACATACAACGAAGATATGGATTTGTCACCATACCAGACACGGAGATATGGGTTACTGCCTCAAAACGTGATGCAATGTGAATTATATATTTGTTTTCTGATTTTCCGTCGTTATTAGAGAATATGTGCCATGAGTTTACGAATTGTTAATAATGAGTGTATGGTAAGAACGTACCAATGCTCAACATCCAATGCAAAGACAGTTTTATAATTTCTAAATAAACAAATAACACATTTGATATTATTGCTAAAGCGTGGTTTATTACAACAATTTACGATCTATTCTATACAAAGTGTAAACGACGCATTATTTGAGTTTTTTGTAGATATAATTTAGTCCGCTGTTTAATCCTGGCACTAAATTAGTTGTCGTATATTAGATATTGTAGATATTTTGATGATATAAACTTTCTTTGGTGTAAATGAAATTTAAATATCGCAGAATTTGTAAGAACATTTGAGTACATTTAAGTTCATTGTAATTTTTTTTCAACCCATATACCATTTGATTAAATTGTCTATCCGAATTTGTTAATAAAGTTGTTTCACGCGTACGCCATTACATGTCAAATACATCCAAGAAGCTGACACATTTCAGACGACGATTTCGCTCTTGACGACGCCATTATGATTCACAGCTAAGCTACCGCTTACATTGGAAGACATAATTTCCGGTTTCCTAAAACTAGACGTTGGCGCGTGTTTTCCGTGTGAAAAACAATGTATTTTACACGTATTGTAAACGTTTCCATGGCTTCCATATCGAACACTACGTCATCCCAGCGCGTCGTGTGTTGTGTTAAGCCTCTCGGCCATTTGTGTTAGATCCCACATCTGAGAAAAACTCGTTTATTATCATATGACCCTGATCGCTGACTTTTAATCGAAAATTAGTACATTGTAATCGTATTTGGCAGGGCATGGTTTATTTCAGTATTTAGCGATCCTTCCTTTAGGGAATATGATTTTTTCGGCTTTGTTTCTAATAGTTTGGCAAAACTTCGTTACTAATCTTCTATCAAAAAACACCGTACACACGCCTGTCATTCGGAACGCGTTTGACATGCGCCTCCTTTACCTGGCTGCATTTTATCGAACCGGCTCGAGTCAATGAAAACGATCCGTGGAATGGTGTATTGCTGTTTTCAGTGCACTGCCAGCGTTTTTCCTTCATCAAACTTGCTATGATTTTTCTTTGTGACACGAGAAAGTACTAATTCAAAAGTATCTAAAACGCCGTAAACATTTTCATACCTTTAAATATATTTATTTATTTTGCTTAGTGATCTATTTAAATTGTGTTTTTGTGCTGTGAAAATTCAAACTCATTTAAAATGCGTTGTACATTTTAAAAGTACATCAGCAATGTAAATGTACAATATTAGCACGACCATGATAAAAAGAGATCGCGATGTAGAAATGTAAGCGAAAGTAAAATGTTACGCTGTGAGGAGATGACAGTGGAACAGACTTGTTACTCGGAGAAACGGAAGGAAAATATACTGTGGACACGTCTAAGAAAGGTCAACTTATTTCCCTATCAACATAAATTCTCTAATTTTATCATATATTGAAACAGACCACTCAGAAACCAGGACCACACCTGCTTTATTCATAAAATAAATCTACATTTTCAACAACACTGACATTTTCTGGCCATCAGAGAACCATGGTAAGTGACACCATTGTCTTTCTCTTATTAGTGCAAACAATCACCAGCTGTAATGCTATCGCTGATTGGCTGTTCGCGCTATCAACCACTTGGCCGGTATATAAAAAGAAAAAAATAAATAATAAAAAAGACGTACAATGTAATGTAATTTAACTGTGATTCCTCCCCTGGTAGTTGTTTTGGTGCAGATGCTATGCAGCGAGGCACTAATAGGTGATTTTCCGTACAATTGCGAGATCTCGCGAGATGCATGAAAGACGCGCGTCGAACGTCTGCCGCAAAAATCGAACGATTTGATTTTGAACTAGAATTTCTTTATTTCGTAGCTTACATTGACCGGCCGATCTTCGACAGAGGAATATTGCTTGCGAATACCCTTACTTAATCGAAATTGCCTATCATCAAATGTGGACAGCACATTATTAAGCATGGAAATGTCCCCGAAATACTTTCGCGTTTGTCGAATCCCACGCGATGTTTGACGCGACTACGACGCTATGACCTTTGTTTGTCCTGTTTTTACGTTCGATTTCACGCATAACGCGTGATTCTCGCAGTGAACGGAAAATGGTCTATTGGGCCAAACATGATCTATGTGAAATAGACTCCTTCCAATGTCGTACTCGTGGGTACTTTTCCTATGGTAGCCTCTGAAGTGATTATTGTCAGATGATTCGAAATTAATGTTTTTCTATTTCTCCCACTATCTTTTTTTCTTTTTCCCAAGAATTGGACGTGCTTGAAGAGACTGCATTCGAGACAATATGATCACAGCATAAGCGATTAGGCATGTTTCTTTATATCAAAGACGAACGAACTGAAGGATGTTATTGTTTGATTTTGGTGATTTTGTTTGATGATTCGAAATTAATGTTTTTCTATTTCTCCCACTATCTTTTTTTCTTTTTCCCAAGAATTGAACGTGCCTGAAGAGACTGCATTCGAGACAATATGATCACAGCATAAGCGATTAGGCATGTTTCTTTATATCAAAGACGAACGAACTGAAGGATGTTATTGTTTGATTTTGGTTATTAGTCATCTGACTCCATGTTCACAATTGTTGGGTATTGTTCCTACAGTGTCACGAAAGGTTTGAATTTCTGTATTGTCGAGGACGTAATTATTTTCAATACGCACTCTTTCGTATCATGATTGTTATCATTATAATCGCGAATTGCATAATTTGATACATTTTGCTCATAGACACTATCCCAATTATATTGCGGGTGTGGATAATGTGTGCTGATAATGTTTTTTTGTAACTATGTGCTGACGAACCCTTCATTAAAACACGTCCTCGGTTGAGATACTTTTCTAAGTGTCGTGAACTTGAACATTTTCCAAAATATGTGCCTAGTGAACGCATGGTGTGTGTGTGTTTTATCATAATGAACAATTGCCAAAAAATGTTCTAGTGGAAACACTTTACAATATGTGTGCCTACTTAAGGCAATTTTAGATGTGTTATTATAATGAACAATTGTCAATAGATGTTTCTGATGGAAACACTTTATGTAATGTGTTATAACTGGAAACATTTCCAAAACATTCAAAAATATCGACTACAGCTAATTATGCAGATTATAAACACTTTAAATGTTTTCAAAGTGGGGACATGCTTATAAATACTTTAAATGTTTTACCACAAAACAATAACAATGTTTTATTTCAAAACAGTGGTCACAGTGTTGAAATACAACTTTGCGATAACAAGGTTTTATGTGTTTACACTTTTATGTTTTCAATTATAAAGCACATAAAGAGATTTAAGAGTAGAGAAAAAATGTGTCAAATTAAAAAAACATACTTGGATTTACAGTGAAGGGTATGTCATGTTGATTCCATTTCTGATTGACTGCAGAAGAGTAGTAACAGTTTATTACATTCGTAGCTATATCTATTATTACAAAATAATTGTTGACAGCCATGATTGATTTCCCTAAAACAGTTTCGTGGTCCACTAATTAAACTGTGTGTGAAAGTTCGCTACACGTGAATGGCTATGCTACAGGAACATACAATACTATACCTCAGTGAAAGTTTTAGCGACACCGGACCAAACGCTGACAATATCACTTATGGCAATAATATTATAGTGGATTTGTGTGTCCTAATACAATCTCATTCGACAGAATGGGTCATTATCTCCTCAACAATCTTCATGTCCATTTTCTTTACAATATTGACATTAGGGTATTTCCCGAGTTTGTTGGACCAATCAACCACCATCTGACCACGTGTTACATTTCCAGCTAGTTCAACAGTTGCGAAGTATTTCCCCGATTCTAATACAGACTCCTTTCTTACCGTGGCTATCATCGCTAAACTATCCCAACTGAAGTAGGGACATGTCTTACCCGGCGAAAAGCGTTCTTCAAAATATTTCTTCAGCTTCCATGCAGTGTCCGTTACAAATTTCGCCTTCTCTGTTCCAATAGTTGCCCTGTCTTCGAACCATTGCTACCGATATATATCAGAATGAGTCAGTGTTTGCAACTCATAACAAAGTTCCAGGTTAAAAGGTATGACTATATTTGGGATATTTAGAAACAGTTCAGCCTGTGCACATCCAGTACATATTCACATATCTGAAAGTTATTTATACATTTATTATTTCCAGATCGTTTATAAACATAAAATAATCAAAACCCTTCCCACGTTGTTAAATATTATACTGACTTTCATGAACAAACTGAATGTTTACTTACAAAAGTTAGAAAGTGTTCTTCACAGATTTCGGATGTTAGTAAAGTCATCAAACATTGACAAGAATTCAATACAATGTACGCAGCTTCAGGATCCATGGCAAAGTTAAATTCGCCACATAGCGTAATGTTTCCTCTTCCTTGAATTCGAAGGAAAAACATATCGTGTTACCATTAAGAAACACTTATATTCATTGTTGAATGTATCGATACAGCAATGACTAAACGCATAAAGACGCAACGAACTTAAACCTACCATAAATATTCCCACCCATCACTGTCAAAGATTTGAGTTTCTCGGTAAAGCCAGGGTCCATCCTCATTGCCATGGCAACGTTTGTAAGAGGGCCAGTTGCAACGAGATGGATCTCTCCCGCGTGTTGATTTATTAATCGAACCAACGCGTTGACTGCATGCTCCGAGCTGAGAAGTGTCATGTCTGGTAAGACGTACTGGGGAATGTCCCCGAGACCGTCAAAGCCATGTATGTGGTCAGACTCCAGAGTGGTAGAACCGCCTATAAGTGACGTGAAACAACCCTTATAAACCGGAATCTGAATGGAACGGAAACTTAACGTTAGTACAAATATCGAACGTCTCCCCATGGGTGAATGCCCAACAACAAAAAAACGCTACACCATATACTATATTCATGTATTTCGTCCTACCTTTTCGCGATCACAAATTTTGAGTGTACGAAGGACGTTTCGACAAACATTATCAACGTTGGTTGTACCGCTGACACACGTTATAGCGAGCACTTCAACGTCTGGCTGTGATAGTGCCACCATAATAGACTCCACGTCGTCATGTCCAGCATCGCAGTCAATTATCATTCGCAACTGATGGTTCTCCATGCTACACTAGTATGATATATAAAGATATATGAGAGGTAATTGTATATATATTTTCGATTGGTAATTGTCATAAAATCAAACCAATATGATATGATATATTAATGGGAATGTGTATATACATATAATTCACAGTAAATGATCGCAAAACGAGTCCCCACAAACGTGTGACTTAACATTTTATCATATTATCAAAATCTGTGGCTAGTCTCAACAATTATTGATACTATTAGCCCAATAGTGTATAAATGTATGTAAGTTAACTGTGGTCCCATGTGCAATTCTTGTTTTAAAAGTTTGCAACACTGATGGAGTTATTATCAAATGCTGAACGAGAAAATCGATATTGGCATTCCTATGTGACCTTTGACCCTGTGAATCCATGATGATGTCCAAATTAGCCGTATAACCTTTACATACTTATATATCTGCGCAACTTGAAACCTTTGAAATACTTGAAAAGTGCCAGACATGTGTTATTAAGAACAAAGATTTTATAAATTTACAATTCTGATTGAATAACAAAATAATTGTTGGCACAAATACAAAATAAATGTTATGTAAAACAAACTGCACAGTCCGTGGGCTACGTAGGGTTACCGTAAACAACTATATCTAATGAAACTTGGTAATTGTACGCTCTAAATGATGTCCTCTCATCTTATTCGCCTGATATTCCGATATAATGTACATTTTCAAATTTCAAAAATATCTTGTCAAATAAAAGGTATGTAATGTAGAATTCAATTTGTTAATAAAATCTTAGATCAGTAAGCACTTTGTGAGCTAGTACAACGTTGGTATAAGTAATGATACATTTGAAATCGTTAAATGATTTTGTATGATATTCATATTGAGAAAGAAATCCTATGATGAGATGCACTGAAAAAGTAACAAAAATACTATACTATTGAAGCTACAATGCATATGTTGCCCAAAGTAGTTCCGTGTTCCACTATGCAGAATGCAATTTTAAACCAATGCGAGAAACAATATACATCAAATGTGACCAATGGTTGACCAAATATGGGTAATCCAAGATACAACAATTTTGTCAATTGTGTCAATACTAAGCCAAATGTGGTCAATCCTAGATTAATACATTCGATCTTATATCAAGTCATATGTATATCCAATACTGGGGCAAATGTACACAATGGTAGACACAGTGCGCTCAATAATAGACCAAATATGGCTAACTGTACGTACAACACATGTGTTCAATCATAATGTTGTTAACACTATGTGTTGTATTCGGGAATTATGACTCATTTAACTGATAACATGTACACTTAGAGATACCAGATTCAACTCAAAGGAATACACATTAGTTCATTACAGATAATCCAGCTTTATTCATCAAAACGGTCAGCTGAGGTCTCCACTTCTCTCCTTCTTTTCTTATAAATCTTAAAAAGTCTATCCTAAACTCTAAGGCAAGGCATGGAGTAAAGCCTTGCAAATTTGCCACAACTAAATATAATTAGTTAACAATCTATTTAATATATGTTTATAATGTTTACTAAACATCCAAGTTGTTAATTCTAAACAACGGCGTGTGAACCAAATGTGCGTACGTGATTTCCCTGTGGTAACAAAAGACTAAAAATGACCCAATGACCAATAATGATAGATTTTAATATTATCAATGTGTTTTTGGCGGGAAAAGTGATTTGACATTTGTCGATGGGCCTCAGTATTTTACAGCCCAATAAAAGATGACTTACTATATTTTACTGTATGATTTATTATTATCAATTATGGAGAACCAACATGAAAATACAAAATTAACGTATCTAATTGAAGCCAATAAAATGCTCTTGAATATCATAATAATTTGAAAAATGTTAAATTATCATACCGCTGCAATAAATACGTTACTGTCGAGTGACACGATTTGTTTTTCTCGTATAAAATGACAGCGTTTATCATAAATATTGCGAGGTTAACCGTTCCAAATCAGCTAGTGATATTTCACAATAATCTTCACGGCTGTGAATGATATGCATAATTAAGGTGCCTCAAAATCAAGTTTTAAAGTGAAAAAATGGGTTTCAAACTCAATCTACGCCAATTTTATTTTTATGTATTTTAAAACGAGGCTACTCGTTAACTGCATACTCAAATACCCCCCTGTGGCGTATGAAGGCGAACTTGCTGATCAGCACCCATTGCTGATAATGTATAAAAGGCACATGTTTTTATTCAATTTCTTCGTCTTTGACTGAAGTGCCACGGTGTTTTTGTTTCTCAAGGAAGAGTGGGCCACAAAATAACATATACCAGTATTATCAAGTTTATCGTACAGGGTTCAGTAAGATACGAAATGTATCCCTTCTGACGAAGCTGCCGACATCTATTGCCATGGAACTGTCCACGATCTCTATGTCTATGTCGATTCGAGTTATTGCGATTGTCACAATAATCGCAAAATATTGACAGCCCACTTATAACGCAGATTGCAAGAAATTGCAATAAAAGATCACAGACAGAAGTCAACAATTCACAAACTTCTAGGCAGCCTAATTACAAACAGTAGCGTGTAAGTGCTGCGTGATTTCCTGATTATGACCATCGATTTTTGCGCCACGTTATTGCTACCTCTTACATAACAACATACTAGTAACTATTTGGTAATTTATTAACATTTGAAACAGTTACCCGACGCTTCTCTCCATTTGAAAGCCAACGCAGTGAACATGGGCTGGTCCGGAATCTGGTTCTTTGAAAATTGTTAGTACTGTGACAGGTTTAATCTTTCAGCACTTTTCTTTAAGCCCAAGTTGTTCTTTTATAAAAGAGGACAGTTGTTCGGAGTAGGAATCTACGGTATGCGGTTTGAGGAGAATGTCCATCCTAACTTTTTCTCATTGATTTTTACGGCTTCCGTCTACTACTGATGTTACACCTTCGGATCGTTTGGAAACGCGTAAATTCTCACACTATTACTATACGCATTGCTGAGTCCGCCCAAAATTGTTTCAAAAAAGGGCCGACCAAAAAATATTTATCGTTAACAGTTTCGTTAAATTACGCATATTATAAAAGTATAGCTCAAAAGTATGGCTTCCTCTCATATTTTGGCGTTTTGTGGCACACTTTCAGTTCGCTGGAGTCGGAAAGCCGGAATCAGTCGACTGTTTCAGATATGAGTCAATTGTCATGGGGGAATTATCGTCGTGTCTCTATGTCACGTTGCGGGAAAGTCACTTTAACTTTACAGTCAAATAGACGCACACAACGAAATACGTTTTAACTCTCGTCTTTAGTCAGCCAGTCGAGTACTCTATAAGACACAACGCCCTGGGGGGAAAGTCCCCAAGACTCTCTCGCTTCGTGGCCGTCTTGTCGAACACCTTAA